TTATGTTGTTAAGCGCCTTCTGAAGACACGTTACCTGTTGGTTTTCCTGCAGTCTTGGGAATAAAAAGAATTCTTAGGGGACTAGGACGGACGAGTTTGGGTGACGACAAAACCGTTGTAATACTATTTTTCGCCAAAACTGGTTCACTTTGAACACTAGGTGGGAGGCGCATTGTCACGAAGAGACCACCAGTCTCCAGATCGCAACAATTCAGGGCGTTTCCACCCCCACTCAACGCAATCGCTTCAGTACTTACAGATAGTAGTGTTGATTGACTGTAGTGTTTCGAGGAGTAAATTCAATGTGAACGACTCTTTCAAGGTTGAAAAACAAACCCCATGGATGTTTCGCATGGGCGATCGATTGGGACAGTGAACTGATGAATGGAAGAGGGAAGACGCAGATATAAAGGGAGGTCGACACGTTGGCCTCCGTCGCTATGGCATCCAGCACATCTTTTTCATCGTAAAAAAGCCGACTCGCCCTTAACTTGTTCGTAAATCGGGCCAAAATTCCGAAGCCTTAAAAATAGCAATTAATGCTTCACTCATTTAACATGGTGCGATGCAACCACCCAACTTGTCACTCAGCCCTGCATTTGTACCAACGGATTTCTCACCGTTTGAGACCGTGGAAACTAATGCTGTCAGGTTTCTTAACCATTTCTCTACGTTCTGAAAACGCCTTCTTTTTCAGTTTTTTTCTCGCGGAGAGTGAGTGGGAAGGGTGAGAAACAAGAGTTTCATACCGTTTGTCGCCAAAACTGGTTGATTAAAAACACAGTGAGAGATGGCGCGTTCTCACGACGAAGCGGCTAGTCCCCAGGTCTCTACAATGCAGGTCGTTTTCTCTCGCTAGGGCTTGACCTCTTCCAAGTTGGGGTCAAAATGACCGCAGGCGAGCTAGAAGCCAGTGTTTGACGCGGTATGAAGTACCAATCCAATCTGCACCAGGCGTGAATTTGCTTTGTCATACTGTGGTTGAAGGAGTTCAAAACATCTGATAATTGGTACAGTTACCGACATTCTTTCGTTTTCGAACGATATGGAGCGGAGTCCTTGGTGCTAACCTAGACAGAATGTCAGTAAAGAGCCTACTTTTTGCCTAAACTAAGCGAAACATCTTAATGCATCGACGCCTAGAAATTAAGCAAAACTGGGCCGCAGGAAACTCGTGGGACCGAGTGGCGAAATGCCTTTAGATACAGGAAGATCAAAAGCACAAAGAGGACAGAGACAATTTTTGGCGAAAGCAATTGGTAAGACACAAAGCGATGAAATATAATCTACATAAAGAGATAGTGAAATAAAACGGAACGTACCCAAAAGAGCGGGGGAGCTTGTCCACGAGCTCAGGATGATCGGACTGGACTTTATCTACGATACTGCTGTACAGTTTTGCGAAGTGCATGCCTACGTAAGTAAGTAAACAAGTGGGTAATTATAGGACCGCAGGAAAAAATAGCAGGAACAGTACAATCAACACGCCTTCTCAAAGATTAAACTAAGCTGTGAAATGAGCGTGAATGTCAAGGAACCTTAAATACTTTGTGGAATTTACTGATATAGGGCTAAAAAAGATGGACAAAGGGGACTGTGAGTTAGAAATACTGAGCGGGTTTTGCGCATTGGTCAGTTGAAGGGCCAGCGTAAGGTTGAGTGAAAAAGTAGACAGCTGGATTTGGAACTGTATGTGGATGTATGCATATGGATATCTTCGTTCGAATGATCTACCAGAGAGAAACAACTTGAGACTGTCAGTTCTGCTAAATTCGCGGCGGCATCTCACTCCGGCGATCCCGAGTACATTTCGTACGCAAAGGCGAAGGCAGCAAGTGTTCTGATCAAGATTTACTATCGACTTTTTGTCCATAAAAGTCTCTCCCAACCACTAGATATTCAGTTTCCCCTTGGATATGATTGTTTCTTGTGCCTAAGCCTACACCGTTTACAAGATTGCCGAAGAGTTACAAAATAATGTCGAATTTGTTTCAATAGGCGGATTGAGCGATTTTCAGGACGCTAACGTAATCTTTAAGCCAACTTCAAGTTAGATTTGGTCAGCTAATATATCAATGCTGAGGATTGACTGGTCGCGCCACTGATCATAACATAGCACTTCTTATGGCCAGGGACCCTCAGCTTGTTGTTGCCAAGCAAAGGGTAAGAACATTGGTGTCGAATCCATTCTGTTTGCCATACTCCGAAAAATGATCTCGGACCCCTGACAGCAGTCCAAATGACGCCAGATTTCGAGTCAAGCGGCCATACGTCCACTCGGTACCTTTATTTGACTATGAATGTTTGGCCGTGCATGTGGAAGGTTGATTTTTTAACGTTGCCGGATAAAGGATATACTAAGCCAATGTCTTGAATGGAACATTCCATAATGACGCCGGGCCATCTAAAGACATATTTCTGTAAATTGTGCTATGACACCTGTAGCACTACCTGAATCGGACACCATTGACTAATTTGAAACGAAGAAGTCGGCTGCACGTTTAATTGGACATGGTTTGTCAAGACATGAAACTGCTTCTTGGACTTAGGTATACTATGATTACGGATGGAGAGACGCTACCTGCTGCCATGGATTGTAGATGTACTAAACATCACAGCTTTATCAATTATGACGAATGGAGTTTAAAAAAGCCTGGTAAAGCGATACATATTCGGCCGTCAGAAAGTAAGCAGTTAGCAAAAAGGCCCAGAAAATCGGACTGTGTATGGTGACGGCTATATAATAGCATTAACAAAAAAAGCTTGAACTGAGTGGATATAAGAAAAATAGGGGAATATTTTGGAGTGCAAATTCTAAAAAAAAGTATATGAAACGAAAAAGCTCTTAGAGGACAGCATGAAGGTATGCGTACACGAATCACTTCGTGATACAGATGCAACTGACCGGACGTTATATGCATATAAGGGTTTAAGAGGGTTTGGAAGACAGAAAATATGTGCGATAACCTACCGGGGGTGATTTCAGAAATGGCCCAATTAAGCAAGTCGTGGAGATATTCGTAGTAAGTAGACTGCTGTTGCGTCGGATTAACGACTAGAGTACGAACGACGTTTGAGCAGTAACTGCGGTACCGCACGCCTAATGAGCAGATAATGGTTCCAAAGTGCATAGGTTTCTTGTCACT